GCAGTTTCCCCGCTGCGCCACTCGTGTGAAGAGCCGACACAGAAGCATGGGGAGTTGGCAACGATTATGCAAAAGCAAAGAGAAATAGATAAATAAGGATCCTGGCTCTTTTTCGCTGGCGTTCCTCGGCGCGTCGTATGGGCACAGCGTCTACGGTTGCTGTAGAGCTGTTGGCAGCGCATGGGCGCTCCAACGGAGTTTGGGGCTGGTAAGGAGATCAGGTGCTGCAAAGGGTGGGAAGACTGAATGTGGCATGGGCTCGCTGGAAACAGCAAAAGGCAGGGAGCAACTGCACACACGGGGAGCTTTCTGAATTCTGACAACAAACAGAAATCCTGCAGAAGCAGCTCGACAGCCAAACCCCGCCGGGGCGGTGGGTACGCCGGAGCATTACCCGTGCATTGTTCTGATTTTGAGCAGCTTTCTGGACTCCATGCCCCAAAATACCAGGCCCAGGACTGGCTGGGAGGAGGCTGCAGCCCCGGGTGAGGAGCTCTGTCCTCGCGTCCCGGCTGCAGCTCCCGCAGCTGGAGCTGTGCCACGACCCAGCCGCCCTGCTGCCTGCTCTGAGTCACCGTTGGTACCGTCAGCCCAGCCACAGCCCCTTTGTCTGATCCTTTCGACGGTCTTGTGATGATCATTTTCTGTGCTTCACAGCTTTTATTGCTGCAGCCTTATTAGTCCTTTCTCGTAGGCTTCAGGAATTCTTCGTCTCATAAGACACCGCGTGACCTGAGAGGATGTCCAAAGCAGTCCCAGGATGACAGCTTTAATTTCCAGCCGTTAATTACAGCCACAAACAACGTTACAACCCCTGGTTTGCAGTTTGCAAACTGGAATGTAAAACAAAACCATTGTTTCTCCTTCTCCTTATTTCTCCTGTCCCGTTACCCTGTTTCCCTGCAGAAATACATCATCGAGCTCACGTACAGCACGGCCCAGGAGTTTGTTTGGGCTGGAAAGCACCGAGAAGCGATCCCTGCGGCTCTGCATGCGGTGCGTTTCGGTACCGAAGTGTATGGCTCGAATTCTGTGCAACTGGTGCCTGCTTATCTGCTCTTGGCCGAGGCCTCGGCGGGTAAGTATTGTCTAAACAGTCCCGTTGGCAAGGGCAAGACCTCCCTTGGGTCAGGTTTCTGGTTTCCTCTTACCATTTATCGGGGAAGGACCAGCTCTGCGTTGCAGCGTCGTGCCATGCCTCTGCCCTGCCTCAAGGGCATTTTGGAGAGATCGGAGGAGTCGCACGCACACCCACAGCCCTTTTCTGTGCGGGGCTGGGGAACAGAATGGCTCATCCGAGATCAATGAAAGCAGATGAAATGTTTTCTCCATCTCTACCGATTCCCACGAGAGAAGCCCTATGAAAATCTATTCTTTCCCTCTGTGGCTTCCTACGACTCTCTAAAGCATTAAATTCCCGAGGGTGGGTGGTTGGGCTCTTATCTCGGGGAACCAGCTCGTTGCGTCGGAGGAGTGCCTCCGTTCATTCACAAGAGTGCGCCCTGCCCGAAGCTTTTTCTCATTGACTGTGTGCTGGATAAAAAATGCCAAATGAGGGCTCTGTGCGCGGAGAGCTGCTCTCCTCGGCTGCAGACGTAAGGGGCTGAGAAATGACCGTAAATCGTTGCTGTTACGGGACTGCACACAATGCTGGCAGAAGGGAGCCGTCCCGAGGGTTGTCGTAAATGGCGCGGCAAGAGAAGGGAAAAAAAATCCCATGAGTAATTCTAGTGTGATAATACCAGAGCTGTTAGTCGGTGCCTGTAGTGGACCTGTTTTGAACACGTGTTTCAGGGCTGTTGAAGGGGACACACGGCTTCTCTTGTAGCCCTGGACACTCAGCCTGTCTGTAAATGAGGTTTTGAGCACTAAGGAGCACTCGGGAGGGAAGTGGGGGATCCACAAACTATGTCTCCATATCAAACTACTGCAGAGGGACAGCAGGCAGTATTCTCTAAATTTCTAAATTAAAAAATGCTCGTTATCCTGCTTATTTCTGCGTGTCGTTTCAGGTTCTGGGCATCTTCCGGAGGCATCCAAGTACCTCTCCCAAGCACAGTGGATTGTCCTCAGCACTCCAGACTGCAGTGCTGCCATTCGGTACAAGTTACATCGCAGCCTGGGGCTTTTCTGTGCCGCCGAGGGAAACTTTGAACAGGCTTTGTATCACCTGGCGAATGATGTAAGCCAACCCAAATACAGAAATGCTTCCATTTCTCTTCCTTCTCTGACACTCCCCGATCGGTATGCAAACCCCAGCAGCCAGATTGTGATCCTGGTGTGAGGTGCCGGGAGGGTGTGAGTTAGAGACACCAGAACTCTCAGGATCTGAGACACCCGCGTATCCGTGTGTTAGCCAACGGTCTGTCTAAACAGTTCTCCTCGTTCCCTTGATGAGACATAGAATCACAGAATCATTGGGGTTGGA